ATCGCTACCAAGTCTTCTTTGATCCACACCTACCCACACTATGTAAGCCTCACTGCTTCATGCTGACAACTCATGCCTGTACGACCCTCCTGACGAAGTTGCTGAAGATGAATTCTCGCAATCTACACCGCCGAACTCGCCAATCCAGCCGAACTCGCTTAGTCTTCGTGAACCCTCGTCAGTACACCCATGATGTCGAACTTCCCTACACATACCGATACTTCCTCGCTACTTTTAAGAATAAGTTTACTTTAGTGCCAGACAAACTATTGCCTTCTCTAAACCCGCCCACACTTTACATATAAGTCACACACTGAGACCATTGTGACAACTCACACCTCATTCCCCTCACCTCATTCCCCCACCTTATCCATTCTTTAATTGGTGTATATTGTGTTATTTGTGTTTTTCAGACTATCGTATTATTGTTGTTTTCACATTGCAAAATGTAGTTTGTTTTATTTTTTTCTCTGAGCAAATAATCACGCTTCAATTTATTCAATTATTGTAATGTTTTCGTCTTCCCGCGTATATTATTCATGTTTATTGTTTACGAATTTACGTTATCATGTCTTTATCTGTTTTAGATTATATGTTTATTCGTAATTACCTCGTTATTGCTTGTGCCCTCACTACATTCTTTGAATTTATACATATTGTTGTTCTTTTGAAAATTACTTTCCTTTTACTTGCCGTGGTAATTGTTCGCTTATTCACATGTACATGTCGATGACCCCTTTTACTCACCTATTTGACGGCTCTACATAAAATTGACTCTAGGATTATAAATTGTACTATTTACCATACGTTTCATAACTGATTCTAACTCGCTTTAATGACGTCCTCTCAGCATTCAATATCTTGTCCTTAGTACTGCTTGAATTTATGCTTTAGTTTTAAGGGATTGGTGAATACGTAACATGTAACCAACTGATGGAGTCGAAATCTGTTGCAATAGGGATAATGCACTGCAAACACCAGGCTTTATATAGGCTTACATAGTTATTACCACCGTAATTTAGTTTTAAGCTGGCATGTGTACTAAGAAGAAATAGCGCCCAGCCGCAAGTCGAATCTGCTACAAAGAAATCACGCTGAGACGCCCGTTGAATGTATTACAAAAGAATCGCGCCCAAGTTGGCTACGAATTGTGCACGGCCGCAACCGAGACGCTCACATTCACTTGAAGTTTAGGCCAAGCTACCTACATGTGTCCGAAGCATCATTACTAGCCTATTTAGCCTGAAGAAATGGAATTCTTGCTCACTAACTTTTCTCTCTACAAAATAATGGTATTCTATTGGACTCACTAATCCTAACAGATCCTGATTAATTAACACCTCATATGACATTTGTGACATTGTCCTTATGACGCTCTCATTTTCTGGCATCTTAGTAAGGTACTGACAAGTATATTATCCTCCTCCTCCTCAGCCCTCTTACTGGCCTGGTACACTTATATTTCAGCCCCTGAATACGATGCGATCCTCCTTGCTACGCAATGTTGCACCTTACTGTGAAACCTCTGCCACGCTGCTACCCTGACACGCAACGACCTATGGGACAATAGAGCAGCAACCATCTGTAGAAGCCTTGGAAGACATCAGTGCATAAGATGTTCAGATGGCTCGAGGGCAACCCGTTTGTGTGGCCAAGCGGTATGTCAACAATATGGGTCAACTGGATGGGTGTTCGCCTTGCACATAGGCCCTACCTGCTGCATTCCTTCCTGGCATCGCACCTTGGTCGCCCAAGTACTTTCTCCCCCTCGAGCAATTCCGGCGGATTCACCCCCTTTGTCACGGCCGGAAGAACTGACACCCCAAGAATCAGAAGCAGGCACCTGCCCAGGACAGGAGTCGCTGGATAAAAGGACGTCTCATCAGGCAGACTGGGAGAGACCAAGTAGACAGGAGAACAAGAGCAGTCACAGAACAAAGGAGACCACCCTCTACCCTCAGCACCCGGGGCATTGGGTCTCTTTTGCGGCCACGTTTTTACCTTCCTCAATAAACCAGCAAGCCAAGACCCCTTTCATTCCACCAACCTCCACACCCCCATCTTTTTTTACAATGTATGTATGTAATATATATATATATATATATATATATATATATATATATATATATATATATATATATATATATATATATATATATATATATATATATATATATATATATATATATTTATGTGCGTATATCAAACACACACACACACACACATTTATATATATATATATATATATATATATATATATATATATATATATATATATGTAGTATGTATGTATATATAATATATAATATATATGTATATACATGTGTATATACATCATCATCATCATCATCATGGGGGCTGACGCCGACGGGGGCGCATAGCCGCATCCACCCTCCGCTTCCACCTACGAGGATCCCTCATGGCTAGGCGCCAGGCAGGGACTCGGCCCATCTCTAGTTCTTCACGGCAGGTTTGGTCGATCTGCCCAAGCCATGACTTCCTCGGTCGTCCCAAAGGCCTCCTCCACCCAGGGTTGTCTCGAATAGAGACGACCTGATGGGCAGGATCATCCTGAGGAAAGCGAGCCAGGTGGCCATATAGCCTGAGTTGGCGATCACGGATTGTGCAGATAACAGGGCTTGTGCCAGTCTCACGGTGCAACTGTTGGTTGGACACATGGTCCCGCCAACAATACCCCATTACGCCAATACCTGGCGTAAGGACCTATTACAAAAGGCTTCAAGACGAGCCTCCAAGGCACAGGACAATGTCCAGGTTTCGCTACCGTATAGCAAAACTGGCATTATCAGGGCCTTGAAAACCCGTAGCTTGGTCCTTCTGCACAGGTACCGACATCTCCAAATACTCTTGTTGAGAGAGTTCATGAC